TAATTCGATAAGTAAAGTTGTTGTTTAATGTTTCTAAAGTCAACCAATCTTCAACAATATGTGCAAATGTTGTGCATGAATTTTCACATTTCTCTATAATTGAACGTATTGATCCATACAAGTTCAAAGAATCATGTAATTCTTGCTCGAATGTTTTGTCGAAAAGTATACTGACAACAGTTCTTTTCAATTTATATACATTTTTGCCGACATTTTGTCTCATAGCTGCTAAATGTTTTTTACAAGATGCATACATATTATGCAAATTATCACAAAAGGTATTCGTTCAATTATTTAATATAATTATTGCTCCATTGCGTTTCAATAAATCTTCTTTCAAATCTAAGAATTCAACAAGCAGATAACGAACCTTATCTACAAAATCTTCATTTAATAATACTTTTTCTAATGATAATGCAAAGAATAAGTTGCAATTTAAAAACCACAAATTATTTTGTCTACTAATTTTTGTGTATGATAATCTTGATCTGTGATTACAGAATAACTCATGATAGAGTATTTAGTTTTAATTATATGTAGTGCTTCATTAATTACTTCTTCTAAATTGCACAAGATATCCCATGACTTTAAATAGGTCTTTCCTTGGATAACTTTAACAAAAGTTACAATTTGCTTGCAGTATTGAAATGATGTTTTTTTAACCATCATAATTTCATCACAATTGACTAATAAATCATCCATTATTAATTGGTTGTGCAAGTTGTGAAGAAAAGAAGTCTATAGCATTTCTTTTGTAGGCGGTTTGTATGCTGGTCTTAGTATTTTCATTAAGTTTAAAAAATGATCAGATTCAACCGTTTCAAATAGAACATTGCATCCGCAAAATAATTTCATTAATGCCTTGTTAATCCTGATGTGATTTTTATCAGAAATATTATCAAAAAATAGCAGTATCTTCAAGTTTTGTGTTCTTAATGTTTGACCTTTTGTTATATCTTTGTAGTATTCTTTTTTTGTTGTTTTAGTTGAGATGTAGATAATGACTCTTTATCTTTTTCTTGTTGTTCCAATTGATGCGCAGATAATGATATTTCATTCTCTGTAAATGTTCCAATTGACTTTGACTTAAAATTGATATGATTTAGTGAATGATTTTGTGTTTGATTCTGAAGCAGAATCAAATCGAATTTCTGATAAGCCGCTGTTTGAATTTTTATGACAATTTTTTCTAAAAATATAAATACAGTGTATAAAATTATTTTGTTTTTTTTAATTACTTTAATCAAATATTTTTTTAGATACAATTTTATCAACTTTTAATATAATTTGACTGGCTTACCTGTGCATCTGTAACCTCACTTTTGAAATATTTTTTGAACAGTTTTTACATACAGTGCAATAAGCAACTGTTTTCTCTTCTTTTTGTACGGGAATAAAATTTCTAGCTTGCCAGAAATCATGACAAGGCCTGCCTCCAAAACTTTGTTTCATTTTAAGACAAACCGCACAACTCTTTGGTACGCGTTACATAACGTTAAATACTGCAAACTTAGATTCGTACATAACTTTAAACTTTATTCAACGCATAAACAAAATTAACGTAACACGTTTATGCTATATTAAGTTAATTTTGTTTGTGCGTTGAATAAAATTCAAGTTTATGTACAAATCTACGTCTACGGCCAACACTTAACGTAACGCGTTACGAAACAGTTAAGCTGGAACAGCATCGCTTTTAAGGTTAGTGCCCATAATGCTAAAAATTGGTTTAAAAATTGTAGTCAATAAAATTGCTGCTTTCCGCTTAAAGACTGCAAGTTGATTAGCTATACATTTTTCGAACCAAGATCTCGGGCCGATTTTTAGCAACATGAATCATGGATGTTAGACTTAAAAATTTACTATACACATGATGTAGAGATGGCGCCACACGGAGTATAATATGTATAAAACTAAGCGATGTATTATATTGTACAAGACCAAGTATAATACAATGTAGAATACCTCACGTATAATACGTGCCCAACCCTGAGATCCACCATTTTTTTTATTCAGTCGAATTCAATGAACTGAGCGATGTGGACGTGTGTCCAGAAGCGTCCAAAAAAAAGTTCGTGCGGCTCGTTAATTTTCATTTATTATAAGCATATTAACACCTTCGCGCCGGGACATTTCGAAGCAGACTTTACGCAAATCCGGGAAAAATTCGTGGAATTTCGAGCAATTGCTGCATTTTCAGAAAAACTGTTATAACTTTTATACTACTTGATATTTTTAAATAAAATTTTGAGGAAAAGGAGAGAAGACTGTTTTGTGTAAGAATTGATAGTTTTTAACATGTAATTATATTAATGGTTCTCAACTTTTTTGTTTGTAAAGTAAACATTTGACAAACTTGTACAAAATTTAATATTATCAAAATTAGTATTTCATAATTAGACAGGAAGAGATTACTTCTTTGTATTAAAATCAATACTTTTTTAACAAGCAATTATTAGTGGTTCTTAACTTTTGTATTTATAAAGTAAAACATTTGACAAACGCACTTGCGGAAAAATTAATATTTTCAATGTTAGAAGTTGTATGTACAATATATATATGAAATATAAAAATTATTGAAAGGCAGTTGGAGTTCAAAAGCACAGTTGTTGTTGTGTATGGATATAATAATGATGTTCTTTATTTGATAGTTTATAAAGTTGACGTTTCGACCATGGTTTTTAGTCTTTATCAAAAACGTTCTACAAAATTGATTACAACAATTTTAAACAAAAATAATATATGGTAATAACATTAAGAAAAATTATGAAAAAAAAAAATACACAATGCAAAAAATAATTTGTTAACTTACAGACGTATGATGTTCTTAAAAAACGCCGATCAAGATACAAAATCAAGCTGTTATGTGGTAGTGATTGCAGACAAGAGTTGTAACTCAACTGAATAAAATTTAAAAAAGACGAACAATATGTACAGTGAGATCAACATTATAGACATGCGCAAAGGAGAACTTAATCTTTATTGACAACAAATAGTACATAAGATTTGTCGAGGTTTTCCGTGTCGCTATGTAGGTTAAGGCCATATGTTTGTCTTTTGATGTGTAAAGTTTCCGAAATCAGACGCTTATAATAATGCTTTTCACAATCTAGAATCTCGACTCTATCCCAAGAGAAATCATGGGAATGATTAATTCTGTGATCAGTTATTACAGAAGTTTGCGTGGTGTTACGTTTTATATAGTTTTTATGTTTGTTGATTCTAGACTGCAAAACTCTACAAGTCTGGCCAACATGGGATGCCTCACAATCAATGCAGTTGATTTTATAAACTACGAATGGACAAGACAGAGTAGGTATAGGATCTTTTTGTACTTTGATAAATCTGGACAATGTGTTTAAACTGTAAAAAAAGTAACGTGCGTCAGTATCCTTATTAAAAGTTGTCAAAAATTTCTCAGAATAAGTTTTTGTGTATGGCATCACAAACCAACGAGAAGGTTTATCATCAAGGTTATTGTTAATCAAAAATGTCTTTAAGTCATTGTTCTTTAAAAAATTATATTTAAGTCTTTTTTTAAAAATGTTAAAAATAAAGTCAATAGGGTAATTGTTGTCGTTGAGAATATTAATAATAAAGTCAAAGTTTTTTTCATAAAAGTCAGGGTGTGATAAGAAAAATGCTCTATCAATAAGACCTATGACTGTGCCTTTTTTCTGGCTGGTTGGATGATTAGAATAGAAATTGAGATATCTACCAGAAAAAGTTGGCTTGTGATACCAGTCATGTTTCAAAAAATTATTTGTCTTAATTATGGTGATGTCCAGAATGTTCAATTTGTTGTAGCCTATTTCCATGGTGAATTGTAGGCGAAGATGATAAGAATTAAATAGGTGTAAGACTAAGTCAAAGCTATTAGCAGGAACCATTAGAGAATTTTTTAACGCAATTAAATTCNTATACAACTCAACTTTTTTCATTTTTAATTATAAATTTTACCGACAGACTTTTGGCGCACCGATGGGATCACCTCTTTCCCCCATTTTAGCTCATATTGTCATGCAAGACCTTGAACAGAACATACTTAATTCATTGCATTTCCAGCCTCCTTTTTACGTTCGATATGTTGATGATATAGCTCTAATGGTTCCTGCTAATAGCTTTGACTTAGTCTTACACCTATTTAATTCTTATCATCTTCGCCTACAATTCACCATGGAAATAGGCTACAACAAATTGAACTTTCTGGACATCACCATAATTAAGACAAATAATTTTTTGAAACATGACTGGTATCACAAGCCAACTTTTTCTGGTAGATATCTCAATTTCTATTCTAATCATCCAACCAGCCA